GAGTGTATTTCCTCCAAGGTTTGACATTTGAGACATTGTACGTGCAAACAATTTATCGGGCCAATCCATATGAGGCTGTATCATGACTTTAATTGGGACTCAACTAATGGATGGTGGGTCCTATACGGTATATTGAGCTGGATATCGACTTATTCCAAAAACAAAAAAATAAAAATAAAATTACGTATTTTTGTAATATACACTTTCCATGGTTCAAAGATATTTTGATGAAAAAATATATGACATTACCACAAACTACAAATTGATGTAATCCTATTAGAAGATTACATAATTTTTGTTCCAAAAATGCATAAAGAAAATGCATAGCATGTATAAGAAAAGTGCATAATAATGTTCCCAGTCGAGGAGAGCATAGGGAATTCCAAATGTAAAAGGATAACTTTGTTATTTTGTAAAGTGAGATTGCAATAATATTTTTATCTTCAATATTATGGGATTACTAATACCCTTTGAAAGGGAGTGATTATTTGATAGTTTCACAATATAGTCATGTGATATTTCATAATAGTATATATGATTAGTAGAAAAAATGAAATATTAATTATTTGTATTTGGTGATTGAGAAACATGAGAAGATATAATATACAGTGATTGATAAAAAAAGTATAACCACATGAAACTCAAGGACTATTGTATAATTTTGCTTGGAGTGGACTTGAAGTCCTTTAGTCTTATGTGGCATTATTTCAAAACAAGCATAATTATATGAAATTTATTGAATTGTTAGTACAATCCCACCACTTTCAGATTAAAACAACACTATATTTTGAATACATTTAATTATATTAATTAAAATCAAACTCTATATCAAATTAAATAAAAAATATAATAAACAAACAACATACTTGGAATATATTTAATTACTCATATAAATCACTTGTATTAATTTGAGTAAATTACGAATACATGAGATTTACTTAAAATGTGAATTGCCTTATAGTTTTAGAAACTATATAATTGCTCGATTGTCAAGACTTGTTATTTAACAAAGTCGACAAAAAAAATGAAATTACTAAGTTTCTTCCTATACAATAATAAAAAATTACCAAAACTGTTAATTGAAATATATTTTTTACATCATTAAAAAATATTAACTAACTTAATGATTGATTAATTGAATGAGTCGTTTTGTTATGCAATTAAAAATTTGAAGTGACAGAATGTAAATTATAAAATCAGAGAGAACAATAAATATTTTAAACAAATTTCAAGAGATGTACTTGTAAATTATCCTAATAATTAAAATCAAACACAGTATCAAATTAAATAACAATATAAATTGTTTGATAATATTTATAGCTACTATTTATTTTTTTTTATAAAAAATGAAAAGAAAAAATCTGTTTAATACACAAATATTTTAAAATTTATTTTGATAATAAATGAAAAGTTGGGTGGCGGAAGATGGTCGCGAAAGTGGTTGTCAATAGCCTGTTATGATGGGTGAAGGTGGTTGTTGACCGTGGGCAATGATTTCAAAAAAATCCTTTTACATAATTTTTTTTTTTAAATAAAAAATTAAGTACTATATTTATGAAACATGAGATTTAAAGTACAAAATTTACAATTTGAACATATATCAAAACTAATTAGTTTATCACAACAAATATTAATAGATTGTCTTACCATCATTATCATTTGTAACTCAACATAAAAATAAAAATATGTTTATTTACATTAATTCTCATGTTATTTTTCACCGTCTATATGTTATACTTTATATTTTGGGGTTTTTACAATTTTTGTTAGTACATGTATCCGTCCCTTCTCCTATGCTAGAACATCCTAGATTCACCCCTGGCCCACCGGTGGTAGATGGTTGGCGGTGACCAAAGATAGTTGTTAGTGGCGAGATATGGTGAATAAAAGTGATTGTCAATGGTCTGAGATGGTGATCAAAGGTGATTGTCAATGGCGGAAGATAGTGAACAAAAGTAATTGTCGATGGTTAGAATGGTGATCAAATATGGCTGTCGGTGGCAGGAGATAGTGGACGAAAGTGATTGTTAACGGTTAGATATGATGATCATCAAATGTAGTTGTCAACAAGAGGTAACTGTCGCTAGTAGAAGGTTGGCCAACAAGAAGTGATTGTCACTGGTGGGTTGTTGGTCACAACACTTGTGACACTTGTTTATTGAAATGTCACTAGAACTTTTTGTGTTTGTTGTTTTGTGACTTTTTTAAAAAACGTGCCACTAAATATTATTTTTATGTCATTTTCTAAAAAGATGCCACTAGTATAGTGTCACTAAAGTGTGTTTTTGTTGTAGTGACTACGTGATTTCGCCTAGTTGGCAAAGGAGGTCATTGGCATTGATGTTCGGATGTGGTAGACTATAGCCCTGTTAGGGACTGAGTGTTTGGGCTAAAATGTCACATCCAACCTATAATTATTATTTATCACTTCTCTCTCTACATTTTATAACTTCTCTCTCTACATCTCTTAGGGTTTCTCTGAAGGCGCAGCTCGGGGCGGGAGAGGGGGGCTCCGGTCTCCAGCAGCCTCTCCCCTCCCTTCTGCCCCTCCTCTCTTTCATTTTTTTCTTGTCCTTTTTGGCTCAATAATATTTTGGAAGCTTAGTCTTTCCATTTCTCCCTCCATACGAGGTCCTTATCCCCTTCTTGGTGGAACTCTACCATTCATCCTCGCTCTTCTCCGACTTCCCCAACCGGGGCCTCACCGAACCTGCCAATCTCGTCCTCCATCTTTCGTCGGCACCGCCTCTGCCCTACCAGATCTGCCGGATCGTCCGTCTCCTAAGTGTGTTGGGCATCAGATTTGCTCCTCCTACCACCTCTCCACCACCAGATTTGCCATGGATCCTAGGATAGAGGTCCTTTCTTTTTCTTTTTCTTTTTCGATTTTTGCTTGTAGTTTTGGGGTCATCTGTGCTTGGATTGTGGCTTTCCAAACTTTGTGGTTGAATTATATGATTTATCTTAGACAGGCTCTATTGTCGATTTTGATCGGTTCTGCTTTTGTAATATGGGCCTGAGCACATGATGTGCGTCTGAATATTTTCATATTTTTTCTCCAAAGTGCTTCTTGTAATTTTCTTTACTCTATTTTGGTGTAAGCTTGGTTGTTTGTTGGCCCCTGTAAATGCCGTTTTTGGCTTCCTTCAATGGATTTCTACTGATCAAAAAAGAAAAAAAAAAACCTATAATTATTTTATTTTTTCTCTCATAAAAGTCAAAAAATTCAAAAAGTCTATTCCAAATGAGGCTTTTAGTATTAGGCTAAAATAGCTAAAAAATTAAAAAGCCAACTTGCATCACAAACGAACTAATGAGCTTTAGGTGGTGGATAAAGAAGTAAGAGAAAGAAGAATGAATAAAAATAAATAAAAAAAAAATCTAAACAAGTGAAATTATTATTATTATTATTATTATTATTGTTGTTGTTGTTGTTGTTGTTGTTATTTCTAGTTATAAGAATTTTGTAAATTTTATAAATTGTTTTTAAAATTGAAAATTGATAACCAAAAAAAAATTGTAAATATAAAACTTTATAAGAAATGATATCCTTATCATCTTTTTTATGTCACATTTTGTACCATGTATCTATATTGTATTGCAGATAAACAAGAGCAATGAGATCCCATTACAATAATAATATATTGACACATCTAATGATACATCAAATGTAATATTAAAAATGAATAAATATAGTATTACTCAAAACAAACCTTATTAAACATTTTAAAATTTTTCTCGAAGCAAACTTCTTTAAATTGAATTAGTTAAGAGTAGGAATGACTATTTTTCCCCGCCTTGATAGGGAAACTGGGTAAGGACGGATTTTCCTTCTGCCTTCTCATTTATATTTACTAAACGTGCATGTTCCGTGGTCATCCCAAGATGTGCGAGTTGAGCCAGCACAAACCAGTGTCGGTCACTGAATTGGAGGTACTGTGCATGTGCATCTGCATCTGAATGTGGTCCTTTGATGATGTAAGATTGCTAAATCAGCGAACCCGATGCTTATGAGGAGTTATTGGATGATTTTGGGGCACTGTTAAGTGGTTACTTCAATGATGTTATGATTGATAAAAAATATAAAACTCACGTATATGTGTTAAATAAATATTTAAAATATGAATAAACATAATAAACTATGATTGATAAGGAAGATAATCACGTGATGTCAACCAATAATTTTTCCATGCTTATTCCTCCAACGCTGGTTATTTGGCGTACTCCAAACGGAGATGTTATTTGGTGATGGTGAGATATTAACCAAATGGAGCACTACTAAAAATCGGATTTTTTGCGACGGTTTTAAACGTCGCAAAAGGTCCATATATCGTCGCAAAAGGCTTTTTGCGACGGAGCAGCGACGGAAAATGAGGGGTGGCGGAAAGGGGCGTGACAAAAAGTATTTACGACGGTTACAAACAGTCGCTTTCTTGTAGCGACGGCTAATCAATAGTTTTTGCGACGGCTTCGCCTGACACAAAAAAAGGGAAAAAATGGCATTTTTAGTGACGATGTTGATTACCGTCACAAAAGACCTTTTTTAGCGACGGTATTTGCCGTCACAAAAAGTATTATTAGTGACGGTCTAAAACGTCGCCAAAAAAGTAGTATTAAGTTAATACCGTATTGGCAACAGTTTAAACCGTCGCAAAAGATTTATTTGCGACAGTTGAAACCGTCGCAAAAGATTGAAACTAATACGTATATGCGACAAGGTAACCCGTCGCTAATAAAATATAAGGAAATGAGAATTACATTAGCGACGGTTTATTATTGTCACAATAAAATTATTTTTTATAAAATCATATTTTATTAAATATTCCCTATATAAATTATTAATATTTTTTAAAATACATCCACATCGACATCCACATCCAAATTCACATTCAAAAAATCATATACCAAGAATAATATATGTACCTTGTAACAATTGTCAACTAAAATATTCTTTACAAAAATATATAAAATAACTTCTAACAATATTAATAATTTTTGAAATTCAAGAACTCAAACTTTTAGTATCGACAATAGAAATAAAAAAATAAAAAAAAGATATAATGTAGCTTGTTTTGATATCAATAGTAAGCTCCCATATCGATATGCGAAGATATCACGTACTGAAAAGGTTTGCATCTGCAAAAAGAAACAAAAAAGAAAAAAAAAATCATCATTTACAACATAATTATTTACAAACTTACAGAAAATGTAAAACATATGATTTTTTTTCAAAAAAAAAAATAAATAAATAAGATTGTAAACTCTAATATCGATATGCGAAGATATCATCACATACTCAAAAGGGTTGTACCTACAAAAAAAAAAAAATTATTTACAATATAATTAATTTCAAGCTTACAGAAAATGTAAAACATTTGATATTTATTTCAATAAATAAAAAAATAAGATTGTAACATATACATGAATTGAGCGCCACACAATGTATCTTCCCACAGCTTCTCCAACTATCCTTAGACATCGGGATGTTATTTCCAAAACAGCGTTCGGCTTGTTCGCTTTTAAAACAAAAACTTTGCAAAATTCAAGGCCAATTGGAACTCCATCAATTTCACACAACGGATCAACACTAATAAGAAGTCCCTTCGCCAATTGGACTCTTGGTATTACAGAACTCTCCAAAGAAACTTTAATTACATCCTACAATGATGATAATACTATTAAAAATAGGCAATGATTGTACACATTGAGCTATAATCTAACATAAATCGAATAAACACAAAAAGAGTTTGTAAAGAAAATTTTTTCATCAACTTCCATCTTCTCCTACAAGTCATGTGTGCCAAGTATCTTGCGCGTGTCAAGTTTCGTTGATATCCGAACCCGTTTGAGCATTTTCGTGTGTCAACCGGTTTGAAAAAGAGTTTGTAAAGAATTAGTTTTCATAAACGAAAATTAGGCTCCAGATTCAAAACCGAGAATCGGTTTCAAGTTTTCGCTTCTCCTACAAGTCATGTGTGCCTAGTATGTTGTGCGTGTCAAGTTTCGTTGACATCCGAACCCGTTTGAGCATTTTAGTGTGTCAACCGGTTTGAAAAAGAGTTATTAAGTAACAAATTTTCATTAACGGAAATTAGGCTTTAGATTCAAAACCGGGAATCGATTTCAAGTCCCGTCTTCTCCTACAAGTCATGTGTGCCTAGTATGTTGTGGCTGTCAAGTTTGGTTGACATCCGAACCCGTTTGTGCATTTTAGTGTGTCAACCGATTTGAAAAAGAGTTATTAAGTAACAAATTTTCATTAACGGAAATTAGGCTCAAGATTCAAAATCGGGAATCGGTTTCAACTTCCATTTATCCTGCAAGTCATATGTGCCTTGTATGTTGTGCCTATCAAGTTTTGTTGACATCCGAACCCATTTGAGCATTTTAGTGTGTCAATCGATTTGAAAAAGAGTTATTAATTAACAAGTTTTCATAAAAAAAAATTAGGCTCTAGATTCAAAACCGGGAATCAGTTTCAAGTCCTGTCTTCTCCTACAAGTCATGTGTGCCTAGTATGTTGTGGCTGTCAAGTTTGGTTGACATCTGAACCCGTTTGAGCATTTTAGTGTGTCAACTGGTTTGAAAAAGAGTTATTATGTAACAAGTTTTCATTAACGAAAACTAGGCTCTAGATTCAAAACTGGGAATCGGTTTCGAGTTCCATTTATCCAACAAGTCATGTGTGCCTTGTATGTTGTGCCTGTTAAGTTTCATATACATCCAAACCTGTTTCAGCATTTTAGTGTGTCAACTGGTTTGAAAAGGAGTTATTAAGTAAACAAGTTTTCATTAACGGAAAATAGGCTCTAGATTCAAAACCGGAAATCGATTTCGAGTTCCTTTTCGACCAACAAATCATGTGTTCCTAGTATATTGTGCCTGTCAAGTTTCGTTGACATCCGAACCCGTTTGAGCATTTTAGTCTATCAACCGGTTTGAAAAAGAGTTATTAAGCAACAAGTTTTCATTAACGGAAATTAGGCTTTAGATTCAAAACCGAGAATCGATTTCGAGTTCTGTCTTATCCTATAAGTCATGTGTGCCTAGTATGTTGTGTCCGTCAAGTTTCGTTGACATCCGAACCAGTTTGAGCATTTTAGTGTGTCAACCGATTTGAAAAAGAGTTATTAAGTAACAAGTTTTCATTAACTGAAATTAGGCTCTAGATTCAAAACCAGGAATCGGTTTCGAGTTCCGTCTTCCCCTACAAGTCATGTGTGCCTAGTATGTTGTGCCCGTCACGTTTCGTTGACATCCGAACCCGTTTGAGTGTTTTAGCGTGTCAACCAGTTTGAAAAAGAGTTACAAAATAACAAGTTTTTATTAACGAAAATTCGGCTCTGGATTCAAAACTGGGAATTGGTTTTGAGTTCCGTCTTATCCTACAAGTCATGTGTGCCTAGTATGTTGTACTTGTCAAGTTTCGTTGACATTCGAACCCGTTTGAGCATTTTAGTGTGCCAACCGGTTTGAAAAAGAGTTATTAAGTAACAAGTTTTCATTAACAGAAATTAGGCTCTAGATTCAAAACTAGGAATCAGTTTCGAATTCCGTCTTGACCTACAAATCATGTGTGCCTAGTATGTTGTGCGTGTCAAGTTTCGTTGACATCCGAACCCGTTTCAGCATTTTAGTGTGTCAACCGATTTGAAAAAGAGTTATTAAATAACAAGTTTTCATTAACGAAAATTAGGCTCTAGATTCAAAACCGAGAATTGGTTTCGAGTTCCGTCTTGACCTACAAATCATGTGTGCCTAGTATGTTGTGCCTGGCAAGTTTTGTTGACATCCGAACCCGTTTGAACAATTTATTAGGTCAACCGGTTGGAAAATGAGTTATTAAGTAACAAGTTTTCATAAATGGAAATTAGGCTCTAGATACAACATCGGGAATCGGATTCGAGTTCTGTCTTCTCCTACAAGTCATGTGTGCCTAGTATATTGTGTGTGTCAAGTTTCGTTGACATCCGAACCTGTTTGAGCATTTTACTATGTCAACTAGTTTGAAAAAGAGTTATTAAGTAAAAAGTTTTCATTAACAGAAATTAGGCTCTAGATTCAAAACCGGGAATCGGTTTCGAGTTCTGTCTTATCCTACAAGTCATGTATGCCTTGTATGTTGTGCCTGTCACGTTTCGTTGACATCCGAACCCGTTTGAGCATTGTAGTGTGTCAACCGGTTTGAAAAAGAGTTATTAAATAACAAGTTTTCATTAACGGAAATTAGGCTCTAGATTCAAAATCGGGAATTGGATTTGAGTTCCATTTTGTCCTACAAGTATTGTGTGCCTAGTATGTTGTGCCTGTTAAGTTTTGTTGACATCCGAACGCATTCGAGCATTTTAGTGTTTCAACCGGTTTGAAAAAGAGTTATTAAGTAACAAGTTTTCATAAACGGAAATTAGGCTTTATATTCAAAATCGAGAATCGGTTTCGAGTTCCATCTTATCCTAGAAGTCATGTGTGGCTAGTATGTTGTGCGTGTTAAGTTTCACTGACATCCTAATCCGTTTGAGCATTTTAGCGCGTCATCCAGTTTGAAAAGGAGTTATTAAGTAACAAGTTTTCATAAACTGAAATTAGGCTCTAGATTCCAAACGGGGATTCGGTTTTGAGTTCTGTCTTCTCCTACAAGTCATGTGCACCTAGTAAGTTGTGTGTGTCAAGTTTCGTTGACATCCGAACACGTTTGAGCATTTTAGTGTGTCAACCAATTTGAAAAAGAGTTGTTAAGTAACAGATTTTCATTAACGAAAATTAGGCTCTAGATTCAAAACCGGGAATCGGCTTCGAGTTCCGTCTTATCCTACAAGTCATGTGTGGCTAGTATATTGTGCCTGTCATGTTTCGTTGACATCTGAATTCGTTTGAGCGTTTTAGCGTCTCATCCTTTTTGAAAATGAGTTATTAAGTAACAAGTTTTCATAAACTGAAATTAGGCTCTAGATTCGAAACCAGGATTCGGTTTCGAGTTCCGTCTTCTCTTATAAGTCATGTGTGCCTAGTAAGTTGTGTGTGTCAAGTTTCGTTGATATCCGAACCCATTTGAGCATTTTAGTGTGTCAACCGTTTTGAAAAAGAGTTATTAAGTAACAAGTTTTCAATAACGAAAATTAGGCTCTAGATTCAGAACCGGGAATCGGTTTTGAGTTACGTCTTCTCCTACAAGTCATGTGTGTCTAGTATGTTGTGCGTGTCAAGTTTCGTTGACATCTGAACCCGTTTGAGCATTTTAGTGTGTCAACTGGTTTGAAAAATAGTTTGTAAAGAATAAGTTTTCATATACGGAAATTAGGCTCTAGATTCAAAACCGGGAATCGGTTTCGAGTTCTGTCTTATCCTATAGGTCATGTATGGCTAGTATGTTGTGCGTGTCATGTTTCATTGACATCCGAACCTATTTGAGCATTTTAGCGCATCATCCGGTTTAAAAAATAGTTATTAACTAATAAATTTTCATAAACTGAAATTAGGCTCTACATTCAAAACTGAGATTCGGTTTCGAGTTCCGTCTCCTACAAGTCATGTGTGCCTAGTATGTTGTGTCTGTCAAGTTTTGTTGATATCTGAACCCGTTTGAACATTTTAGTGTGTCAACCGGTTTGAAAAAGAGTTATTAAGTAACAAGGTTTCATTAATGGAAATTAGGCTCTAGATTCAAAACCGGGAATCGGTTTGGAGTCCCGTCTTCTCTTACAAGTCATGTGGGCCTACTATGTTGTGCGTGTCAAGTTTCGTTGACATCCGAACCCGTTTGAGCATTTTAGTGTGTCAACCGGTTCGAAAATGAGTTATTAAGTAACAAGTTTTCATAAACGGAAATTAGGCTCTAAATACAAAACCGGGAATTAGATTCAAGTTCCTTCTTCTCATACAAGTCATGTGTGCCTAGTATGTTGTGCCTGTCAAGTTTCGTTGACATCCGAACCTGTTTGAGCATTTTAGGGTGTCAATCGGTTTGAAAAAGAGTTATTAAGTAACAAGTTTTCATTAACAGAAATTAGGCTCTAGATTCAAAACCGTGAATCGGTTTCAAGTTCCGTCTTATCCTACAGGTCATGTGTGCCTTGTCTGTTGTGGCTGTCAAGTTTGGTTGACATCCAAACCCGTTTGAGCATTTTAGTGTGTCAACCGGTTTGAAAAAGAATTATTAAGTAACAAGTTTTTATTAACGGAAATGAGGCTCTAGATTCAAAATCGAGAATCGGTTTCGAGTTCCATTTATCCTACAAGTCATGTGTTCTTTGTATGTTGTGCCTGTCAAGTTTCGTTGACATCCGAACCCGTTTGAGCATTTTTGTGTGTCAGCCGGTTTGAGAAAGAGTTATTAAGTAACAAGTTTTCAGAAATGGAAATTAGGCTCTAGATTGAAAACCGGGAATCGGTTTCAAGTTTTGTCTTATCCTACAAGTCCTGTGTGCCTAGTATGTTGTGTCTGTCAAGTTTCGTTGACATCCGAACCAGTTTGAGCATTTTAGTGTGTCAACCTGTTTGAAAAAGAGTTATTAAATAACAAGTTTTCATTTACTGAAATTAGGCTCTAGATTCAAAATCGGGAATCAGTTTCGAGTTCCGTCTTCTCCTACAAGTCATGTGTGCCTAGTATGTTGTGTGTGTCAAGTTTCGTTGACATCCGAACCCGTTTGAGTATTTTAGTGTCAACTGGTTCGAAAAAGAGTTTGTAGAGAACAAGTTTTCATAAACGGAAATTAGGCTCTAGATTCAAAACCGGGAATCTGTTTCGAGTTCTGTCTTATCCTACAAGTCATGTGTGGCTAGTATGTTGTGCCTGTCAAGTTTCGTTGACATCCGAACCCGTTTGAGCATTTTAGCGCGTCGTCCAGTTTGGAAAATAATTATTAACTAATAAGTTTTCATAAACTGAAATTAGACTCTAGATTCAAAACCGAGATTCGGTTTCGAGTTTCGTCTTCTCCTACAAGTCATGTGTGCCTAGTATGTTGTGCCTGTCAAGTTTCATTGATATCTAAACCCGTTTGTGCATTTTTGTGTGTCAACCGGTTTGAAAAAGAGTTATTAAGTAAGACGTTTTCATTAACGGAAATTAGGCAAGTCATGTGTGCCTACTACTTTGTGCGTGTCAAGTTTCGTTGACATCCGAACCCGTTAGAGCATTTTAGTATGTCAACCAGTTTGAAAATGAGTTATTAAGTAACAAGTTTTCATAAACGGAAATTAGGCTCTAGATACAAAACTGGGAATTGGATTCAAGTTTCGTCTTCTCCTTCAAGTCATGTGTGCCTAGTATGTTGTGCCTGTCAAGTTTCGTTGACATCCGAACCCGTTTAAGCATTTTAGTGTGTCAACCAGTTTGAAAAAGAGTTATAAAGTAACAAGTTTTCATTAACGAAAATTAGGCTCCAAATTCAAAATCGGGAATCGGTTTCTAGTTCCGTCTTATCCTACAAGTCATGTGTGCCTAGTATGTTGTGGCTGTCAAGTTTCGTTGACATCCGAACCCATTTGTGCATTTTAGTGTGTCAATCGATTTGAAAAAGAGTTATTAAGTAACAAGTTTTCATTAACGAAAATTAGGCTCTAGATTCAAAACCGAAAATCGATTTCGAGTTCCCTCTTATCCTACAAGTCATGTGTGCCTTGTATGTTGTGCCTGTCAAGTTTCGTTGACATCCGAACCCGTTTGAGCATTTTAGTGTGTCAACTGGTTTGAAAAAAAGTTATTAAGTAATAAGTTTTCATAAACAGAAATTAGGCTCTAGATTCAAAAACAGGAATCAGTTTTGAGTTACGTCTTATCCTACAAGTCATGTGTGCCTAGTATGTTGTGCCTTTCAAGTTTCGTTGACATCCGAACCCGTTTGAGCATTTTAGTGCGTTGTCCGATTTGAAAAGGAGTTATTAACTAATAAGTTTTCGTAAACTAAAATTAGGCTCTAGATTCAAAACCAGGATTCGGTTTCGAGTTCCGTCTTCTCCTACAAGTCATGTGTGCCTAGTAAGTTGTGTGTGTCACGTTTCATTAACATTCGAACTCGTTTCAGCATTTTAGTGTGTCAATCGGTTTGAAAAAGAGTTATTAAGTAAAAAGTTTTCATTAACGGAAATTGGGCTCTAGATTCAAAACCGGGTATCGATTTTGAGTCTCGTCTTCTCCTACAAGTCATGTGTGCCTAGTATGCTGTGCGTGTCAAGTTTCGTTGACATCCAAACCCGTTTTAGCATTTTAGTGCGTCAACCAATTTGGAGAAAAAGTTAGAAAACGACAAATTTTCATAAACGATAAGTTTTCAAATTGTTTGAAAGTTTACCTCATCATTTGGTGGCGGTGTATGTGGGTTCTCATCAGCGCCATAATCCGTAGGTTCACGGTGGCCACTCAATTCATCCGGTACCTATGATGTTCATGGTATTCTTTGTTAATTGTATTTATATTCAATGATACAATTGTGCTATAATTAGATATTTATAAAACATTTATTTATACCGAACCTGTTTATTGTGATTTGTACCCCCTTCGTGGGACATAATAGCCAACATTTCAGCTTTCATTTCTTGTATCTGTGTCGAAAGCTCTGTTCGCATCTCCTCCCTCTATTCCTCTCTAATCTCATCCCGCAGCTCTTGTCTCAACTCCGTACGAACCTGCTTTGTGATCTCGGCAACAATCGATGACTGAGATCCTGACTGTGATGACTTAGATTTATCTCCATATACCATGCTCCAAGGCACATCCTTGCCGTAAGTACGACAATATCCATGCCCATCTTCACCGACCACGTCGTGGAAAACACTGTCTCGAGCATCTTCGGTAGTGCGGTAATCTTCAGGCAACATGGACAATTGGTGCTCAAACTCGTCCTATAAATTAAAATAACAAGTACATATACATAATTAGGTAGTTCAAACAAAATCAAATATAAATACAAATTTAAGGATTTAAAAATACCATGGTTTGCCTAACATCTGGGTCAGTTTTGATTGCGTGTATATTTCCAAACACTCAATTTATCCGTGGGCAACCCTTCAGCAATCATCTAAAAATTCAAAAATTAATTATTATTGCAGTAATTTACATTCATATTGGTATCTACCTAAAAAATATATACCTTCCTTCAAATCTGAGTGAATGAAATACGTCATGTCGTATGATTAATATAATGAAAGAAATGACTTCCAACATTGTGGACTGCAATGTCCTATAAAGTTTGCATAAATGTAAGTCGCAAGTATACAAAGTTAATAATTTTTCTAAAGATACGTGCTTTGTAATTAACTTATTTTATATACCTCTACTTTCTTAGTGTTCCAATAATCAACAAGACCATACCACTGTTCTGGAACAGTTTGCGGAGGCACCATGTCTTTCATATTAGTATGATCCTTGTTAGGCTCAAAATACTTATTCTTGATCTTGCTTTCGTGATCCTTCCACAAGTCATTGTACTTTTTCAAGCAACGTGGTTTGTACCCCTCCAAACAAATTTGTAAATTATCCTACAGTACAATTTGAATCATTAGTTCAATTAATAATATAATTGAACAATTTAGTAAATATGCTTTTACCTTAACATCCGCCCATATTGACTCAAGAACATCAATAGGCACTTTGATTCGATCAACGTACGTAAGAGAAACAATGTTCCCATTAAGTACCATGAACCCAAGTTGGCTAGTTAACTTAGACTCATTATCTCCCGTAGGATTGAAGTTGGCGTCAAAATCAATGGCCAACTTCTTGTCCGTACCCCAATCTTTAATGCCTTTCGCAAATCCTCGACCTCGGGAGGAAGATAAAGAAACTGTAGGGCATGTATGGAGTAATGGAAAAAAAAACACATATTACAAAAATTGATAATAAATAACTTGTAGTTAAATTAATGTAATTAGATATATAGCCATTTGTTATACCTGAGTTGGCTTGTGAATCAGTCGCTGGATTTAGAACACATTATAAGAATAAACAAATTATATAAGAATATAATAAACAACATACAAATTAAAGCATAAATTAAATACATGAAAGCAAAATTGTACCTAAAGTGGGATATGAAGAAGTCGTCGGTCCTAGCATATGAAATTAGAAAGTTTATGTATAGTGAAAATGAAATAATTTAATTAATATAATTTAAGTACATAACAAATTTGTATATCTGTGGTGGCCTGTGAAGACAACGTTGGTCGAGACAATTGTGATGATGGCGGTGGATGTATCGGTGGCTGTGATGGTGGTGGTGGCTGTATCGGTGGCTGTGATAGTGGTGGTGATTATGTCCGCATACGCAAAACATCAGCCATAGTGCGAGAGGGATTATTAAGCTTCCTCTTCCGTGCCATAACAAGCTGTAACAAATATAATTGAAAATATAGAGAATAGATTGGAGTTAATAATGTAAATACAAAACAAACATAATAAATAAATTGGAAGTACATAAAATTGTTAAATAAAGTAACATGCCCAAATATGCATGTCATTAAAGCATGACAATTTACTGTGTAGAATCCAAAAATTATTACAAAATATCTTAATTCTCTCTCATTTCAACATCAATAGTTTCTCCTTCTACGACTTCCCTCACCCAGCCAACTTCTTCATCACGGACCATTATATTTTCTTCTAATTGTTGACTCATATATGGCTCAGTTTCTAGATCAGCAGAATACATATCAAATAAACCCCTTTGAGACATCTTCACAACCACTTGCCAATCTGATTCTATAGGGTCTGCAACATACCAAAGTTGCTTAGCTTGGGATACCAAGATGAAAGGTTCATTGGTGATTTGATCATCTCGATACAACAAATGGTTAAAGTTAATCAGCGTGAACTTGAAATTATCTTCTTTCTTCCCCCGAACATTGTCAATCCTATCACACTTGAACAATACATACTTCATTGCATTGGTGTACTGGATTTCAATGATATCTATCACTTGTCCACAATAGTACACAGCCCCCACACGAGGATTTTTGTCCTCCCGGCTTGCATAACTAATAGTATCTGCTTTCAAAGCTACACCAGAATTTTGACTGGCTCGACGGTCATCCATAGACTTGACCCGAAAACGGAACCCATTAGTTATGTAACCGGTAAACCTTCTTGCTTCGTTATGAGGACCATTTGCCAATGTTTGAATCTCTTCAGAAAATATGGTATTATCAGTCCTTCGCAAAGTGTGAACCTATTTAAAAAATGAAAGCAAATTCAAAACGCAAATGGACCTAAGTTGTAATATATAGCTAGATTTGTCCATACATACGTGTTCTTTAAGCCAAGTGTGAAAAGTTCTGAAATGTTCATTTCGGAGTTGATGATCATCAGCACGAGGCATTTTCATCCTAAGTTCTTCAAGGTGTTTCCTATATACGTTGAAAAATTATCAATTACAAATTAATGTTTGAAATGTAATAAAAAACAAAAAAAAAACTTGACAAATATTAAGTAAGAGGGGTACCTACTTTAGGAATGGTTCAACTGCTTTTGTATTGAACAAGATATATCGATGACACTGTACATAAGAAGTATGACCAAGGTTGAAAGTTGTGGTTTCACCAACAGCACGACCCATATTCGCCGCACTATTGTAGTTCCTTACAGGCCAATTCAATTTAGTTTCCACATCATTCAGATATTGAGCACAAAAATTCATGCATTCTTCCACGAGATAACCTTTAGCCATTGAACCTTCTGGATGAGCCCGATTACGTACATATTGCTTTAAAGTAAGAAGATATCTCTCAATTGGATACATCCATCGAAATTGAATCGCTCCAGCCACCAATGCTTCATCACCTAGGTGCATAGACAGATGCTCCATTACATCAAAAAAAGCTGGTGGAAATATTTTCTCCAAATGACAAAGTGTTAGTGCTATACGACCTTGGGTATATCCTACATCTGTTTGACGATTTACTTTGGAACACAATTGTCTAAAGAAATTACTTAATTATCAAGGCTTGAACAACATTCTTAGACAACAATCCTCGTACACCCAAAGGAATAAGTTGTTGCATCAGAATATGACTATCGTGGCTCTTTAGACCCGAAATGCTTCTATCCTGTAATCGTACACGGCGAGAGAAATTTGATGAATACCCGTCAGGAACTCTAACGTCCTTAAGCATTTTCAAGAACAAATATTTCTCATCCTTGGTCATTGTGAATTGTGCTGGGTGGCAAACAAGCTTTATTCTACCCTCTTGACTACAAGTGTAGGGGTTTTCTAATATTCATTTCTTGCAAATCGTGCCGAGCATTGACATTATCCTTAGATTTTCCTACAACCCCTAGTATTGTCCATAATACATTGTCACACACATTCTTCTCTATATGCATCTCATCAAGGTTACGTCTTATTAGATTGTGCTCCCAATATGGCAATTCAAAAAATATACTCTCTTTTTTTCCAACTATGAGTGCGAGGTCCAGCTTTCTCCCTTTCCACTTGTCTCATATGCCTCTCTTTAAGGTCTTCCAGCCTGTATTGGGTTAAGATACCCTCAGATTCTACTTGTAGCAAAATCTCTGATCCAAATAGCAATCTCGATTTAAGACTCAATTCTCGAGTACCATCAAATAATACTTTATCCTTTCGAAATTTATGACCACTAGGTAGGAATCTACGATGACCTAAATATGAATGTTTCCTACCATGTTTTAACCAACACGATCTAGTTTCCTTATTGCAACATGGACATGCATATTCTCCTTTCGTGTTCCATCCTGACAAGTTCGCATATGCTGGAAAATCACTAATTGTCCATAACAAAGCTGCATGCGTTTGAAACATTTGATTTCTTAATGCATCAAATGTAGAGACACCATCAGTCCATAGTTCTTTCAACTCCTCAATCAACGGTTGCATATACACATCAATTTTGTCACCAAGTCCTTTTGGGCCATCGATAAGTGTAGACAAAATCAAAAATAGTTGTTTCATGCACATCCATGGCGGTAAGTTGTATGGAATGAGAACAACAGGCTAGGTGCTATAAACTATGTTCATCAATCTGAATGGGTTAAAACCATCAGATGTTAACCCAAGCCTTACACTTTGACAATCATCAGCAAAGTCAGTATTTTGACGGTCAAAATCTTTCCATGCAAGGGAGTCAGCAGGATGTCTTAAGACACCATCATCTTGTCGTTCCTCTGCATGCCATTTCATGAGCTTGGCTATTTTCAATGACATAAACAACCTCTGCAATCTTTGCTTCAAAGGGAAATACCTCATCTGTTTAGAGGATATCTGTTTACCGCCTCCACGAGGAACATTTGAACTATCAGCTCCATTTTGTTTCCACCTATAACTTTTGCATATGACACATTCATCAAGATTGATGTATTCATTTCGGAACAACATACAACTATTGGGGCATACATCCCACGTTTCATATGTGAAGCCCAAATCTGTAGTGATATTTTGAGCTTTATAGTAAGAATCAGGAAGTTTCGCACCCTCAGGGAAAGCTTCATTCAACAACTCAAGTAACATAGTAACAGAAGTGTCACTCCACTGATTTAGCACCTTCATATGTAAAAGTCAAACAATGAACGACAAAGATGTGAACTTCTGACAACCCGGATACAATTCACTCTGAGCATCCTCTAAAAGTTTGAAATAATTTGCAGTCTCTACATCTGGACCTAACTGCGGATCAGTTGCAAGTAGTTCTGCTACATTAGGATTAGGTAGTGCCTGTGGTTCATCACCTACAACACTTGTACTAGGAATTGAAATACCAATAACATCATGTATCATTCCCAACATATCATCCCTAATGTTTTCATTCGCTAAGGCTTCATTATCTCGGTTACCATGCACAGAAGTATACAACTCTCCATGATTAATCCAATGTTTGTATTTGTTTAGAAAGCCATTTGAAATCAAGTTCTCTCGCACACTATCTCGGACAAGATTATAGCAATTCTCACATTTCCTACATAGACAACAAACCATCGAACTTGTAGCCCTATTGGTGTATGCAAACACTAGAAATCAATCGATCCCATTCATGTATTCTCTCGACATCCTATTTGGCAAATCAATCCAACTCTTGTCCATTTTGTTTACTTCTCCTAAATATATATTCTGTATACATGAACATGCATATTAATTAACCATAACAACAATTCTAATATTTTATACATCATAAATGCACACATTCCAATAGGTGAGCAAATATATCATGGACAAAAATGCAAACATTCCAATAGGTGAGCAAATATATCATGGACAAAAATGCAAACATTCCAATAGGTGAGCAAATATATCATGCACAAAAATGGAAGTTAAAGATGGAAATTTTCATTATGATTAGATTGTATCATTACCAATAAAAACCAGACCACATAACAATTCAATGCATCATTCACCAAAAAATAATCTTAAAAGTCACAAACCTATATGGAAGAAGGTGATTCACATTAACAATATTCCTTATCTCAAGGTGATTAGGTTACTATTGTACAAATATTAAAAAATTCTATTTGAAAAGTGATGGTGATTCACATTGGTTGTTGGTTATAACTCACTTTCACAACACAAAAAAAAAAAGGTCCAAAAAACATAGAAAGTTCTCAATATAAAATATATAAATGTGATTCATTCATAATTACAGATATAAATATTTGTTATCTCACATTTATGTAATTTTTATTTAAAACTTTATGTATTCTTAACCCAACTCTTTTCACAAATCTTAAACTTTTGATCACACAACCAACCCATTGGCAAAAAAGATCATTTAGCCAACTCCTCAAGGGTCAAACTACCATATTTAATGCTCTCTAATAGTTGTTCCTTAAGTAGTATGGATTTGAACTTTTTTGTAGCTAGATTTTATAATAAATAAATTTTAAAAAAAAGGAAGAAATTATTTATAGATATTAGAAGGGTTGGGATCTTCTGTCCCAAGTATAATAATAAATTACCACCAGAAAAAAAAGAAAGAAAGAAGGAAGGAAGAGATACAAAAATGTTTAAGACATGACAAGCATAACAGTGGGTAACCAATAACAAATTCAATCAGGACAATATTGAGGCAATAAAATCATAATAAACAACCACATCCAGTCCAATCATAACCATTCATTTTAAACGAAATCAACATTTTAGAGAGAGAGAGAGAGAATTTTCTACTCAAATGCACTTTGGTTACTTCACTTCAATACATTTTCACTTTCAAAAACCAGAGAATACAAATGTACCAAGGAAAACATAAAGAAAACAGTGGTATGAGCAAGTGCTCCACTTGGCACAGAAATATCACAGCCAGGCAACTTGGTATTTTAATCAATATACAAACATAATTAAACATTCTAAAAACGAGAATGCAAACATAAAGCTATACATGTTTAGTCAATTGTGTCTGAAAAAAATTACACATTGACAAGCTTCCAACAGTGGACTGCAATATTTGGCAAGCAAATAACTGTGTCAATTGTCTGTCCTTTTATTTCTGTGTTGCCATACATGGGTTTGATTTGGGTTTTAATAGCATAGAAGAGAAAATAGAGGACGCGGAGAAGGTGGAGGAAAACACACACACACACACACACACACATATATATATATATATACATATATCTTTGGGGTGGTTTCACACTTTAGTTTAATTTTGGTTTATATCAAAGGGGAAATGAAGAAAAGGGGGGAACGAAGAAGAGAAGAAAAACAAGAGGAAGCGGATAAGACAAAGTAAGAGAGGAGATCACTATGGCAGAGAGAAAAGGGAAAAGAAAAAGAGGTGTCGGCTATGCTTTGTGGCTGTTAGGAATAAAGGACTAGAAAGTAAATTCAACTGATGCCCACTACACAAAACCAACTCCTTTCATTCTTACTAACACCTAATATGGCAAATACAGTATTTAGTCTTCTAATATGGCACAGGATCACCTGTCCCAATTATGTGTCCCATTTTCCTGTCCCAGTGTCTCTCTACTGCCATGTGTCCAACACCAAACATTCAATTTAACTCTGTTAACTCTCCGTAAGAAAACTCACAGCACCATTGTGCCATTAAATTACTATGCTCATAAAATCACCATCATCCACTCATACAAACACAAGGACAGTATACCACTCAGCAAAGCAGACTATTCTACACTCCTAACATATTGTCAAGGGCTGACCCCCAACATGTCAAATAAGAAAATGTGATAAGAAGTATATAACTTCCCAAATATGCATTTTTATGATGAACTGTAACCAATTATTTGATTGCGATTTTAATTTCTCTGTTGACAGTTCACAACACTATTATAAGTTTACAAATGTTTCTGACTAACTTTATTAGAAATATGACCAGTCTAGCAAGCTATTGGTATAATACTACCAAGTCACTACAGAATTTCATTGTGATGACCTTTCCATGAAGTAAAAGGCATCTAGCTCTGACTTTCACCAGTCAGAATTTGCCAGCTTATTCTCCAAGTCTCTTATTATAATTGAATTCATATAAAATACGGAGTGTTCAAAGAAATAGGGACAATGACAAAAGAGTAATTATGTGCAACTGCTAATCCTAGAACCTTCATTATCTAGACTAGTCCACATTTGACAAGCTCAAAGAAAAAACATGCATATATTCTAGTAGTAAATAAGATGGCTCTTCAGGTAACTAAAATCAATATTGTGATTTTTTTTAAAATGCAAAACTGTGACAAATCCGTACTTAAAAAAGCTATATATTTTATATATATGCCATGTAATTGATAATTGGTGTTGTCTATTATCAGTGTTGTGGTGTGAGTTTGAGTGTTTCATGTTAAAAAAGAAAAGAAAAAATAGAGATAAGCTAAACCATTGCCAAAAAATCTCAATTGCATAATATATATACTTATACATATACGGGCCACATGTTTGAGTTGTGAGTTTCATCAAGAATCACACATAATATATATATATATTATTTTTATTTTTGATTTGTGTTTTTTTCCTCTTTCTTTATTTTTATTTTTATTTTTTGTTTACGTATAACAAAATTAGGAATGAATGGCCGCTAAGCGGCAGGGGCAGATGAACTTGTAAGAAAGTGATATATATAATCACTAACGACGGTTTATTATCACAAAATGTGTATTATATTGGCCATCTGTCTCCTAATACTCAAGGAATTACGATATAAAAGTATTAATTATAATATTTTGATCAGTTTGGTTTGTATTGATTAATCAAAACAAACCTTATATTGTGAAAACAAACTGAAAACATAAATTCTTCTTGGTGTTGGGTGGTCGGTTCGATTCCATCGGGTTTCTTTACTTCCTAAGATGAACATTAAACTTCAGTTTGCTCAATGGTTACCATAAAGGAGAATGAAAGGAGATAACCATAAAGTTTAAGAGGTAACCATTACCTCTTACCTCTTACCATAAAGTATAAGGTTAAGAGGTAAAATATAAAGTATAAAGTTATCTCTTACCATAAAGTATAAACTTTGGTAACCAATAAAATATAAAGTAAGAGGTAATGATAAAGATGATGAAGTTAAGAGGTAAGGGTAGCCATTAAAATATAAAGTATATAAAGAGGTAAGAGGTAATGATAACCATATTTTTCAATGGTTACCTCTTACCATAAAGTTTAAAGTTAGGAGGTAACCATTGACTTTATCATCTTTTCCAGTAAAATATAAAGTTATCTCTTTTCATTGTCCTCATCTTGGTTGTGGTTTATTATTGAAAAATAATTGATATCCTAAAAATAACCCTTTTAATTTGATCCACAATGGTATAATATGATAGATGTTAAATTTTGATTTGTGACATACTAACCATATAATACTCACCTTTCTTGCCACAATATCGGGGTATATTTATGAGTCTAAAATTATGAGTCTTTAATATTTTATTTTTTATTTATCAACGTTCTTTTTATTTCTTATACGATAATGCTATAATGACTATTTTATCTTATCATATTTTACTTATCACGTAATATGTCATCGTTATATTAGTTATCAAACAAAATAATGTGGTTATTCTAACAAAATAATGTGGTTAACGTATCTTTTCACTCAAACAAAATATAATGAGACTTACCTGAATAATAATTCAAATGGAATATAATGTGTAAGGTTGAAAAAAGAACGAATTATGTATATGTGATTTTTATAATTTAGTCCTTATAATTTTAATTATTTCTATTTTTTCATTTAACTTTTTAAATATGTTAATTTAGTCTAATTGAAAATATATTTTAAGAAATTGAATAGAAATCAAAAGATCTATTAAAAAATATACGAACAATTTCAAATTAGACGTTAGCCCCTTAATCAATATAAGAATAGTAAATGGACTATTTTGTCTATTAATTTTAGTCTAATTTTTGTATGGGCATTATTAATTATAATAAATTGACACAATACAAAAAATTCAAACTATAAAAATGATACAATTAGAGTTAGAGTACCAAATTTAAACAAGAGACCAACTACAGGAACTATGTCTGCAGATTGCCCTTCAAATCAAGTAGTGTAAAGTGGGTGTGTAGCATTTTCCTTGTAAGTTCTTTTCAATGCTTGGTATTGATTTTATTGGTTACTTCCTCGAGCTTCGTAGTCTACTATCCTAATCATCCTTTCATTTTGATGATATATGTATAAAATTGTCTATCTAATGCAGGAAATCGACTTGCATAACAATAACCAGTACCTCCGAGCAAAGGTTCTCTCTTCTCTGGCTCACTGTCACTCATATCTAGTTAGTTAGTCAGTTTGTTAGTTAGTTACCATTTAAAGTTTTATGTGGATCTTCTTCTATTTATTTATTTTGGGGGGGGTGATTGTATGGTTTGTCTGTTTGTTTGTGAGTAGATAGCTGAGAATGAGAGAGCACAGCAGCAGATGAGTTTGATGCCAGGAGGACCTAAGTATGAGCTGATGCCATCTCAGTCATTTGATGCTCGCAATTACCTTCAAATGAATGGCATTCAACAACAACCACAACAACAAAGACATCAGAATCTATGAGGGCACTGAGGACAAAGACATCAGAATCTAAGCTGGTCTTGATTATACTAGAGTGGAGCTGTTGAAAGTTGGGTAAACCATGGGAGGCTCTAAAAACAGAAGAGTAAGTGGACATGTTAGGCCTGACACCGTCTCTATGAGAATCTGAGAATCAAGAATTACAAGGCCTTGTCGTGGTGGAGCATGACAGAAACCACAAACCACAAAAAAGATATATATATATACACACATCCAATTTTTGCACAAATCAAACACACACACCAACACAAATTCTTGAACTGTTTTATTCTTAATCAAAAGAGTTTCAATGAATTGATGAGCAGGGAGAAACAAACGATAAAAGGGCAGAAGAGAGCAGAGGAAAGCAAAAGAAGGCTATACTTGGATGCCGGAAGGAGAACCAGAGAGACGTTGTTGTTGCCGCTGCAAGAGAGACGGTAATGCAAACACTATTGTTGCCGCTGCTACAGACGCGGTTGTTGCTGCTGCAAAAGAGACAGAACGATGACTGGGTGAGAGGGAGAGTATACGTGAGCAAGAGCGAGAGGAAAGAAAAGGGTTACCTAAACGCTGCTGTTACCGTTGCAAGAGAGATAGAGTGACGACTGGGTGAGAGGGAGGGAGAGAGCAGTGAGATTAGGGCTTTTTTTTTATCTCAAGAGATAATAGAGAATTTGGGAATCTTGGGAAAGTGGGAGAGTAGGAGGGGGTTTTGGCGCGAATTTAGGAATTACTATTTGTGACGATATTAAGGCCCGTCGCAAATGAAAGAGAAAAAAGAAAAATTTTGTGACGGATTGGCAAAAGAGCGTGGCAAAACAGGAAAAAAAAAATTAAAATCAGAAAAATTTTGCCACGTTTAACTTACCATCGCATATAACCTTATTTTTTGCCACGGTGCAAAATAGGAAAAAAAAAATTAAAACCAAAAAAATTTTGCCACGTTTAACTTACCGTCACATATAACCTTACTTTTTTCGACGGTCTAACTTTTTCCGTCGCAAAAACTATAAATTCCGTGACGGCACTTAAACTGTCGCAAAAAGCAAGCTTTTGCGATGGCACTTAAACCGTTGCAAATTGTTCCATGTCAAATGCCCTTTTTTCTAGTAGTAGAATCATGTGTGTTTGGGGGTTTCGACAAAAGGGTATTGAATATGTAATTTGTAGATTTTACTTATATTGTGGGTGTTTGGGAAGTGGTTATTTTAGAAAATTTTTTACTTTTTAATTATTTTAGTAGGTTATTTTAGTTTTTGTGTTTGGAAAGATGGGAAGAACTTTTATTTGAGTTCTTGTATTGAAAAATATGTTGAAATGATGTTTGAAGTAAAATGACAAATTTGTCACTAACCTCACATTTTTCAAAATTAATCTAAAGGGGCAAATTTGTAATTTACCAGCTGGGAGACTAGCTGTCACTGTACAATGCCTACACTGTCACGTTGACAGTGTAGGCTGCTGATTGCCCAGCTACTTTTCTTTTCTTTTTTTTTTTAAAAAAAAAAATTATTGATTTAGGTACTATTTGAGGCTATTAGACTTTTTTAGTTTTTTAGGCTATTTTAGCCTCAAACTGGAGTTGCCAAACAGCGCCATCATGTACTTGTTTGTAAATGAAATTGGTAATCCGGTGGCACTATCAATCTCTTGGATTGATGGTTAAAAGATTATTTTGTCTCCCATTTTATAAAATCAATAAAATAATATTTTATATAATAAGGGTTTTTATGTAATTTGTAGATTTAATTCTAACTAACTAATACCATTGCATGTTCATAAATTAACACATTTTATCTTACGTCTCTAACTTAATATCACCGTATTAATAAGCTCATCACTCAATACTCAATCATACCGTATTCATAGTCTCATTCATCCTAATTAGTCAAACAAACAACGCCTAGGTGTGTTGTAGTTAGTAGAAGGAATGAGATCTATGATTTTGTATTAAGTGACAAGGAAACAAGAAAGAATAATTAGTCAAACAAATGATGTCTATATGCATTGTGACGGGTAAAATGGATTAGATCTATGATTTTATATTGAGCAATAAGGAAACGTCAAGGAGCATAATATTTGGTGAGTGATATTGATAAAAGACATTGTCACGTAATGTCCTTAGACCACCCAAAAAAATACTTATTTCTCAAAAGCTAGCACTAAAGTATAAGGTACTATTATTTGAATCAATCTTTTTTTATTGGCAAAAGTCGTTTTTAGAGTAGCACTTATAGGAGTTAGCCTTCTCACTCTTACAAAGTACTAAATGTTGATCTCCTAATTCATCTCTCTCTTAAGGAGACTTAAACACACCACCTCCCATTAAGAGGTATTCTTTAATATAGTCGTAGTGGCCAACTATTATTTTTGAAAATTTATTTTTTAAGCCAAAAAAGTTTTAAAAATTAAAAATAAAAAGTTCAAAAATAATCAATCACATGCACTACTCATTTTTTTTTAGAAAATTAAAAAAATTATTTTTAAATATATTAATTTCTTTAATCTCATTAAAAAAATTAAAAATTAAACCCCAAATGAGTGCCTAATAACACTAGATGAATTTACTCCAAAACTACTTTCCCAACTTTCAAATGAGTTCTTTATTATCTTTTTCACAGATTGGTCAATCACTGAAAGGGATATGATTGAGATCTCCTCAAACTTCCACCCCCCCCTCCCACACACGTGGGGGTTAGTGATTAGGGGAGAAGAAAAAAAAATTGACCAATCAAAAGCAAAGGGGGTCGTGGGGGTGACCCCCAAAAGGGGGTCCGAATCTTTTTCCGTCACTGAAATATGTCCACATTATGCACACTTTTCAAAATTTTGATTTATTTTTCTTGGAATTATAATAAGTTTATGAAGGAATTTTCTTGGAATTATGATAAGAATATGAAGGAATTCACATCTCCCTTGTCCACCGTGAGTCAGAAAAATGGTTAGGAGGGTGTAGGTCCTGATTTCTGACCACACTACTAAACAGGAACTCAACAAGAGAGCACAGGCAGAATAGATCATGCCCGAACAACCTGTCACAGAAAGATAAGACTCCAACGGTGGTTCATCCACCCGGGGGTACTCCGACGATCAAGTCAGTACTCAGTTATCTCTTAAAGATAGCAAATAGTGCTTAACTCACAAGCCAAAATACAAAAAATGTACCATAGACCCACGATGGTGCCTTACTTTTATAGCCAGCACTAACCTCATCCTTGTAGAAGCCCAGCTTTAATGGCCTTTGATTCAATACTCATCTTGGATTCCCAGCCAGATAGAGATAAGCTCTTTAAGGGCTTTATCTTTATCTAGACTGAGGTCCTCTCCAATTCTAGGACTCCAATCCCTTATCCGCTTTTCTTGAATTCCGGTCTCTCCACAGATTATCTCTACCTAGCTGAGATAACCCCGGCAACATGACCAAGACACGTGGCACCTCGGCTTAGACTCCGATGCCATATTGGCTACGTGTTGTCATTCATGAAATATGTCCCCACAACTGTCCCCTAGGTTCTATTACCTCAGCATCCTGAAGTGATGGAACCTATACAATTTGTCCATATAGCACGCTGGCTAAGACCTACTCCATCCTTCATGACCGAGATCATCACACGTCGGCTTGACATGACCAAGATTCTGCAGTCCACTTGACCAAGAACCAAGTTCTTCAAGCTCCTTAACCAGGACCGTTCCCCTAACTGAGGTTCTTGCTTCATTAAATCAAGAACTCTAAGAATTCAATCTACGCATGAGCTGTCACGCACGGTTTTCTAAACCGTTTCATCCATGTGTCCTTGTCTTATTGATTCGTACCTGACACGCACCATCAGGTCGCGTTGCTTCTGCGCACGCTGCCTGACAGACACGCCGTCCAAAGCATATCATTTATGCTTTGCCGCCTTATCATGTTTTAACAAAACATCTCCCTCTCTCTCCGTCTCTTCACTTTATATTATTGTTTTCCCTCTGTGTACAAGTTTTTCTCTCCCTAACAAATCCCTAACCTCCATTGTTGTTTCTTCGAGCTTTCTGCAACGGCTCCGATCACCTCCTCCAGTGAGCTTTCAGCCATTTGGTTTTGAATACTCTCGTTGTCTGCCTTCAGCGAGCCTCATATCGGCGTTCATTACTTCTGGTAAGTCACAGTTTCCTCCATTTTCAGTTCTTTGATTTATTTCAAAATCTACTACAAGTTTATATGTTGTTTGCTGCCATTGTGAATCTGTTTTGTGCTCTTAAATCTTTTCTTGTACTTTGAATTTCATCATTTTGGGTATCAAATGTGCTTGTTTGGGACTTACTCGTTCAATCTACCACTGGGTATGCATACATGGTTCATGGTCCCTGTGCACACATACGCAATGTTCATGTGTTTTGATACTTTAACAATCTATCACTGTTCTTGACTTTTGCACAACTGCACAAACTTACACAATGTTCTTGAATCTTTGTTGGTTTTCTTGGGTCTAAATTATTGCTATTTTTTATTTTTCCTGCTAATTTCTAGATCTTTCCCTTGATTTCTTGTTTCCATATAGATCTAGGCCTTGGGTATTGATAGAAATCACATACTTTAGGAAAAACTAAACCAAATCCTCCCTCAGATCCGAAAAAAACCCTAGAAGCTTCCAATTTAGGGTTCAGCCGAGGTATTCAAACCTATTCCACTACTTTTTTTCCAAACCTTGCACCTTCTTCCTTTAGCCGACATCATGGGTATGTTCAGGTGGAGGGTAGACACTCTAGAAAAAATAGAGTATTTCCGTCGAGAGTTCTCCATCCCAGCCGATGTTCATCTTAGGCTAGCAGGGGAGGAGGACTTCATCATGCCTGATGGGGACTCCATGCCTTTCCCCGTAGTCGTTTTCATAAAGTGTGGACTTAGGTTCCCTCTAAACATTCTTTTCCGAGAAATTCTTCACTATTACAAGCTCAACCCGATACAACTGGCCATTTAACTCCTATAGGGTTATCAACGGTATAATTGCTTTAGCAAGCCGAGAAAACGCTAGGATAACACTAGCCGACATCCAATATTGTTACACCATGTGTGGCCTGAAATCCGAAAAAGGCTACATCTATTACCTCAAGCCGAGATCCACAGCCTACAAACTCGTAGTCGACCTCCCAAACTCTAACAAGGGTGCTGGAGATGATTACTTCATCATCTCAGACAACTAGGAATTTGCACCTGACGATGACCTTCATCTCTATCCTCTACGCCAATCGGTGTTTAAAGAGAATGAGGGTAAGACCCAAGTGTCAATTTTTCTGTTTTAAGACATAACACTTTATTCCTTCTATATGTTCTAATCTATGATTTTCGTTCTTGCAGCTCTCCCCCAACCCTCAAAAGATTTTCGCCTGTCTTTCTTTCTCAGCAAGAACTTGAGAAGGTTGATGGGCTTACCGGTTGATCAGCGCAAGGCCCCTCTACTGCTTAACTACATTCCAACGTACAAATCTACATTGCCAACGTTCCCAAGAGGAGCAGGACTTATCTCTCTACTATAACTCCAACAGTTGCTTCCTCACCAAGGCTAGACCAGGCCTCATCTTTTGATCCAACCGAGGTTGCATCAACGTCTGCTCCTCAACCAATTCCTCCAGCCCAATGCCAATGCCAATGCCAATGCCGACGCCGAGGTATACTCTCTGCTCCAACAGGCAGAACTCAT